CAGCAGGCATGCCCCTAGAAGCAACATCTGCAGGGTTTAAATTGGAAGGCACATAGTACCATTGATTCAGATCAGAAACTTCTTTGATAACATTCACTCTGTTTGCAACAAAAGTTTTTAGAATCTTATCAGTGTTTGCCAGAGTACTTTACTAGAGTTATATTTGTATAGTCAATTTCATGTCTGTTGTCCTAGTATAACGCAGCAGTCCTAAACTGCTGTTATCATTGTTAGGGGTACATGTCGCACATCTGTGTCTTAGGCCAGTAAGGTCTTGAACATGTATCCCGTCTCTGTTTTACTGTTTAATTATTATGCAGATACTGTTACATTTTGTTACCATAATCCAGTGAAGCGTCGCGGGCCGGAATATTTCACTCCGCGGACCGGATCTGGCCCGCAGGTTGCCGCCCCGTGCCGTAGGGGACTATTATGTGCGGGAGGATTCCTGGATACTCCATCTTGGTAGGGTTGGTTAACGTAACGCTGGTTGATTACTGCTTTCCCCACCGTCAAGCCCGTACTTAGCCAGGCAAACTTTTCCCATATCCTACATTGACTGGTAACCGGACGAGAGAGAGAGAGAATTTTATTGTTTCGTCAAACCAGAAAACACATACAATATATCTATGATAGCAAAATGAGAAAAATTAGGTTTCGGTAGATGACAGGGTGGTAACGATACGACCATTAACAGTCATCTAAGTCGGTTACCACCCGAAGCAAGCACATGAATAAATAATTTAATAACACAGGTTCTGTAATATTACACTCTCAGGATATACATATGGAAAAAAAAACTATATACACCATGTAAAAAATAATGATATCTAATTAGAGATGAGAAAAATTTCTAATCGGGATTAGGAAGTTATTTAAATAAATTTTAAATAGAGAAGAGCAAAAAATAAGAATTCCATACCAAATATATTATTATTTATTATATTAATTTACACTTTCAACCTGTTCTGAATCTTCTTTTGTGCTTACACATGATAAAATATGAGTGATAAGATCACAGGGAAATTGAAGGTTCTATGAGTGACAATAATGTGTTGTGTGAAGAAAACCATAGATTGAGATATGAATTATAGGCATAACAGTAATACAATTTTATATTTTCAATTCATTAGGGTGAAGAAAAAAAAGCAGGATGCATATGGAACTTCTGCGAGATTTATACATTACTACGCAGAACAGGTATTAAGATGGGAAACAATCAGATTGGCATTGCAACCCTTCACAAATAATTTAGAAATAGACAAATATGACTGAGTTGAAATAGATATGTGATATTAAATAAATTTTGACAAGGCTGGGTCAAATTAAATCACGATAGCCCAAAATATATTTCGTCTTAATAGTAATTTTTTTACACATTACTACGCAGAACAGGTATTAAGATGGGAAACAATCAGCTTGGCATTGCAACCCTTCACAAATAATTTAAAAATAGACAAATATGACTATGAGTTGAAATGGATATGTGATATTAAATAAATTTTGACAAGGCTGGGTCAAATTAAATCACGATAGCTCAAAATATATTTCGTCTTGTAGTAATTTATTGTATACACAAGGTTTCAAACTTCAGAGATTCTGAACAATTAGCAAATTTGTCTATATCACTATTGCACATTAATTAAAAGAATATTGATCACATTAAATTCATTACACAGTATAATACTACATAAATATATATATCAGATCAAGGCCCCTCCTATCCTTTGTATCTAAATTGCAATTAAGATGAGCAATTTTGGGTTATTAGTTATATATATATGGCAAACTAAGGGAAGGGATAGTCAAACTATTGTATGTCACAATCAGAAGAACATAATGTACACAACTACATTATAATATAAACTAAAATTATGACCCAGGACAGTTTCAAGCCATTGTAGTATGAACCACAATTGGATGATATGAAATGGGTGATGTGATATATCACATTGTAGCTAAATATGTACTATATTTAAGACTACAATAAGATTAGCACCTTTCACATATTTTGTATATCATTTTCATAGGAATCAACCTAAGAATATATATAACAAATGTACTTGTTGTTATTATACTCCAACAGCATGATTCATATTAAATAAAAAGCGACGATAGCATATGATTACTCAGAATTATTAGAACGAAGCAATTACAAAGATCAATTGTAAAATGAAAAGATTTTGCGGTATACATTAAAATAACCCGGTTAGAATAGTTTATAAGCATAATAAAACAAATATTTGAATGTACACAATGGGAGTGCTTGATCTACTAATTTTAAGGCACAATTCAAAGCAGTATAATTACAAGGTTGCAAACATACACATGTATATAATACAAGTGGAAGTCATATGTGAGGTAGTCACTATGTTAACACCATAATTGGTAAACATGCAATAATAAGAAAATAAATGTGAGAAAAAAAAACTATGAATATACTCTACATGAAATGGCTTATTACATTCTATGGATAGAGACAAACTTATAACAACATAATTTCAAATTTTGTGACATAATGGAAATGAAATATAAATAGGAAGCCTTGCAAGAAAATGGCGGCAAAGTCCACCATGAACCATGCAAATGTGTCGCAGCAGTATGAGGCATAGGGTCGCACAGAAGATAAACAATCAAAGTGCCAATTTTATTTATCGACGTCATTTCAACACGTGGCAAAGCGCTAAAATTCGTTTGAATATTTATCTTGAGAAAACAACAACATCGCGATGAGGGCGAGCTTGACTGTGAATCTTAGGGTCGGCTTATATGTGATTTTTATAAAAACGCAGTTTAAAACAGTTTTTCATGGAGTCGGTTTATATGCACGACCGGCGTATAAACGAGAATATGTGGTAAGTTATTGTTCACAGTTTAGGTATGTGGGCTTCAGAATTTTGATAAAAAAATGAAAATGTAGGCAGATTAGCACAAGTATTTGCAAAGTGTGTGTACCAGGTATAAATAACAATTTATACACATATCCACATCAGTATCCAATTTAAAATAGTACTTATTGGCTTTACAATTATATTTGGATATGATGTGTTTCATGAAACTCAGTTTTAATTTTCTATATGAAAATGTTTTGAAATGTCAGGAATGTCATTCCAAATTTTGGGTCCCATGATTCTGATTGAATTTTGAGCAAATTTAGAATTTGTTCGAGTAATAAAAAATGCACCCTTAGAAGCAGAGCGAGTGTTATAAGAATGCACAGAACTGCAGTCGGTAAATACGAAATAAATGCCTCTGGTAACATATTATGTCTGAATTGGTACATCAATTTAGCAACTTCATAAATAAATACATCGTTTATTTTTAGAATATACAAACTCTTGTAAATGGGGCTCATACTATGACGCAAGGGAGTATTAGTCATAACTCGAAGAGCTCTATTTTGTAGAACAGAAAGAGCATTAAAGTCTAGTCTTATTGCAGAACCCCATGCCACTATTCCATACCTGTAAGTGAGAAAAAAAGAGAGAGAAATAAACAGTGCGCCTGATTTTTTTGGGGAATCAACCTTTTTAGTCTTGTCATTACTCCAACAGCTCTAGACAGTTTCAGTTTAAGGGAGTTGATGTGGTCATCCCATTTAAGCCTATTATCAATGAATATACCAAGGTATTTAATAGAGTCGCGTACTTTCAAACTGACACCATTTAGAGTAAAATTAGGACCAGGTGCATGTTTATTTATATTACAAGGATGATTAATTATAGAACTTGTGTTTTTCTCAGGATTTTATAGTTAATTATAGTTATTTCATCCACTGGGAGACATTTAGTAGGTTTGTTCAACTTGACTGGTTCAAATCAATAACACTGGAGGATATTGACGTTGTGCTCGTGTCGTCAGCAAAAAGTTTGACAATTGCTGAAGTAGTGTTCACCACATCATTAATATAAACAAGGAACAGAGTCGGGCCCAAGAACTGAGCCCTGGGCACGCCGAACAGAAACAAGTTCATGAGGTGATTCATTGGCAGAGAATGAGACAAATTTGATTAGCGATTGCGCAGGTAACTAGAAAACAATTTACTGACAGTGCCGCGAATTCCATAATGTTTGCAATTTGCTAATAAGTATTTTGTGATCAACTGTATCAAATGCTTTTTTCAAGTCCAAAATATACTACAGCCAACCAAGCCCTTATCTACGATTTCATAATATTTACTAATAATATCTAGAATTGCATGTGATGTTGAATGTTGATTTCGAAAGCCAAATTGATCGCTATTAATAATACAATGTTTATTAGAAAATTTTGAAGGCGACTCAGCATCAACTTTTCAAAAACAATAGAGAGACATGACAGTATGGAATGGGTCGATAATTGGATACCTCGTCCTTTTTTCCAGATTTATATACAGGAACAACTCTGGCAACTTTAAGATGGTCTGGAAATACACCATAAAGCACAGAGTAATTGAAGAGTTTACAGAGTATGGACTTATTGTACTGCAGAGAAGTTTTATGAGATAAGCTGGTAATTGATCGTATCCAGTTGCTTTGTTTGTTTTTAAAGAATTAATAATGTTTACTACTTCATTTAATGAGGCATCTTCCATGAACATGGACGACTTATTTGGAGCACTCATGAATTTCAGGTGATCATGATCACTTACATTGTGAAAAGCAGAAGATAAGGTTTGTCCAATCTGAGAAAAATAGCTATTGAACATGTATGAAATTTTAGCACTATCATGAACAACCTCCCCTTGAGTGCTGGTCAATTAATCTTTGCGTAACATTATTATTAGTTTTTGAATTTATTAATGAATTAATTGTATACCAAGTCTTTTTTGGGTCATTTATATTTTTTTTCAAAGCGTTTAGCAAAATATATCTCTTTGGCTTTCTTTTTCAAGTGGCATAATTTGTTTGCGTATCTCTTATAGTGCTGTTTTTGTTCAATGGATCCGTTAATAACGTGCGTTTTATGCAATTTATCTCTTATTTTGGTTTGAGCGCAAGATGCCAGCTGAATATCCAGGGCTTTCTCTCTAATTGACGTTCCTTTCTGGTTAGGTTTCTTAGTGGTGCATGGTTGTCACATACACTTAAAACTTTAGAAATGAAATCACTGAAATGAAGATTAAAATTTTCAGGATTAACATTAAAAAGGTCATAAGAGGTAAAAACATTCAGGGCGTCTTGAACAAAGTTAACACTATTAAAATTTCTCATGTCACGTTTTAATTTATGTTGAAAGTGGGAAGATGCATGACTAAGTTGAATTTGACAAAAAATAGGATAATGATCTGTCATACAATTTTGCCAAACTAAAGACGAAACACATTTTTCAGATATGTTGGAATAAATATGGTCTATTAAAGTAGCACTTGAACTAGTTACTCTCGTCGGGAGGGTTATTACTGGAATAGTGGCATGAGACATCAACATTTCAAGAAAACCTCTTGTGAATGTTGAGAAGCTTAATAAATTAATATTAATGTCACCTAGTATAATGAATTTCTTTTTATCGAATGCCAAATTCTGAAGCGTGTTGCTAAGTTCGCTCATGAAATCAGATTCATTGGATCCTGGGTGGCGATAAACAATACCAATAACAATGGAAGAAAACTTTTCAAAATGAATAGGTATTTCAACCCAAAGCTCTTCACATGAGTTGACATTTAGCGTATATTTAGGCACCATTATAGGATTGAGATGAGACTTAATATACAATCCGACTCCACCAGCATGAGTTTTGGTTGGTGCATGGAAAAAATCATAACCTTCAATATCTATATTAACAATTGGATCTGCTTTAAGTTTAGTTTCAGAAAGTGCTCTTACTGTAGGAATTGAATTTAGATCAGATATAATGTTTGACAGTTCATCGATATGCTTTTGTAAAGACCGAATGTTGAAATGTGCCAAAGTAAATCGCTTTTCAGGTGTTCCCGAAGAGCCTAAGGTGTTATATACATTTTCAATAGTCTCAAGTGATGAGCAGGGTTTAACATTCTCAAAATTGAAATCAGTAGTATCAAGAGGTTCTAATTCATTGTCTGTTATATATGGGCAGCTATAAAATGGAAAAATTGATTTCAAACAAGCACTGCAAAGACTACTATTACTTGTAAAACAGTTAAAGCAATACTGCTGGGCAGCCATTTTACAGGTCCAGTAGGCTACACAAATATATCAATACATAATTTAGGATAATTTATCTAAATCTGAGAGCTTGGTAATTGGGATTCTAGGACTATCTTTAGATTTCTTCAAATAAATGTTGCCATTGGTTGTCCATAGTCTCTCAAACATTTTAGACTTTTTTATTAGTCTCGAGTTATAAAGAAGATTGTTCCTGAAATTAGTGAGGTTTTCGTTTATGTAAAGTGAGGTCATACCTGTAATCCCAAAGTCTTTGATTCGTGACGCGTCATACTTTTTGGCTATAAACTCATTCTTTTTATTTCTGTTGGTGAAACCAATGACATTAAACAACATGATAGGCAACTCTGACGTCACTCCGTAAGACTACGAGCGAAAGATTGTATTTCATGATACGCTCCAATGCACATATTTCTCGTCGCCTGTCGCGACCGTTTTCAGCTCGCTTTTGCTACTCGGCGTCTTCTTTACGTGTAGTACCTGCCTTTTTGCGACTGTAACGAAAGAAAATAATCTCTATATCTAAGAAGTTTTACTCACTTGGAAAGCTGGAATGGCAGACAAGCTGTAAAGAGCAATTCTGGACATCATAGACGTTTTTTATCAGAGAAGATTACAAACGCGATAGCGGAAAGATTTTTGTGGAACATTTTGCAGATAATGACAAATTTCAAAGTTAGTAATTTTAATGTTTGCGCTTAAACATTGAATTTCATTTAAAGAGGGTGTCATACAGGACAGCAAAACTGTTTTTACTTCTCCTAACGGTGCTGTGATACAATTCCATAACATAAAGTTTGCACCTATCGAACTTGTTTTTGTAGGTGAATTAATTAGACATATTACATATTCAGTTAATCGTAAGTAACATTGCTGGTACATAATGCCTCGTAGATAGGTTTGTTTAAATATAGGAATTTAGCTCATAGCCCACTAATTAATATTATCTTTTATGCAGGAGGTTGCAGGGCTGAATTCAACTTGCAGCCTTACCGATCACCTGACCATGCTCATTTAGTTTAGCTCGAGCAAGTCTTCTTGAAAGACTTGTGTGAATGGAAACTACCTATATGTTTTTGCCTTCCTCCGATTTTAGAAGACAAATTTATTCTGAGGGATTTCGCATACAATTCTCATTGGTTGTTGGCTGTTTATAATTCCTATTAATTGTGAATTCTGATTATAACAAAGAGTTAAAAAAAAATTACGTAATTTACTGGCACCTCTTTTTTTGTCAATACTCCAAGCTGAGGTAATAAACAAGACAATACATTTATGTCATCTGGAAGCAAAATATGCACACTAATTAATAGTTTGACACATCATCAGAAAATACAAGTTAAAGATATGTATGACCATCACATGGTATTTAAAATTAAAAAAAAATTAATAGCGGCTGTGGAGTGTGAAAAGTTCAAGACAAAGAAAAGAACAAAAGTTCATAGCTCATGAACTCTTAATTTTGCCTCCATTGCTTTGTGAAGGCCAATATATTTCGAGTGGCTGAATTAGTTTACCTTTATGATAGCAACGTGTTTGTATTTAATATAGCAAGATTTTTTTCAATTTAATTGAAGTGATATTATTTCCCAAAGCAATGCTTGAATCGTCTAGAATAGATCAGTGGTGTCAAACTCATGGGTTTTCGAGAGCCGCATTGCATTTTGGAAATTGTAAAAAGGGCCGCAAACAGTTTTTGATAATGTATACTTGAAAGATATTTTTAAGATAGTTTTAGTTTGTGACATATGTTGTGGTGCAACTAAACAGTTGCATTAAGTTTCATTATTTTCTTCAATTTCAAATGCAATTACATATTAATATTTGCATTCCACTATTATTGCAAGTTACTGTATTTATTACAAAAAATCATAAAATTCTATGTACATCCATCAAAATCATTTTTGAACAAACTTTGGATAAGAGAAGAATAATACATACACTAAAAATGACTTAATTTAAATATATGAACCTAAAATTAACAAAAATACTACAGTATAAACTCAATGTTTTTTTAATTACATTTGTCCTGACGTTTGGTATCTTTTTTGTGTCACCAGCATACTAAGGCCAGGCTGAAATGATTTTATAGTACCAACTCTAACTAACGAGGTCACATGATCATGAGATAATCTGGATCTTTGCGAAAATTAATTCCAGTAATGCAAAAAAGTTTTTTTTATAATTTCATGAATAGATCAGTAAAAAAACACATGACTCATTTTTTTTTGACAAGACATTTCGCACCACATTGCGTGGCATAGGATTGCTTGAATTATTATTGATATTGATTTTTAGTAACTAAGTCGTTGTATAATTATATTAATATACAAACACATGAAAATTTTCTGTTCTTTTCAGAATTTTGTGAAATGCAGAAATATTGCAACTCTCATTTTCTTTGAAAATGCCACCTTCTTCATGTACTTTGCGTTTAATTTAATCACTCAAGTGTTTTATTCAAGTATTCTTTTGCTAGCTTGATGTGTATTCTTAATTGGGTCAAAATGTGAACAAAAAAAAAATTAATTTTCCAAAACTACTTTCAGTAAATTGTTTTCTGTGTGAATAATCAATTTCACTTTAAAAGGTTTGAAAAATCTATTACATTTAGATAGAAAAAAACTTTCAAAATACAATTAGGAAGTTCTCTGGGGTCGCGAGTTTGACATCCCTGGTCTAGATTGAAGTTGTCCAAAATATATATAACAGTATTTTATCATGAATATACCCTTTCCTGAATTTCTTCTATAGTACTACCAAAAGTTGATGAACCAAATATAACACAGGTGTAGATGTATAACACAGGCCGTAATCCTCATTTTCCAAAGCTGTTTTAAGTATGTATGGCGTGTTTTGTGCCTTTTTACAAATAGGACCGCTTATGCAAGCTCACGCTTTTGAATTTTTTGTTATTATCTAGCCCTGCAGGGTGTGGGGGTCTTACACAACTCTACCGGAGGGTCAAATGTCTTTGCATGCCTCCATAGGTTGTTCTTCTATTGCAAAAATTTATGGAGTACTCTAATTATATTTCTTGGAATCACACGGTCACTGATATGTCGCCAGACTTCTGATATCTCCCCTTCTGCTATAGTTGTCCTGTGAATAAATAATAGGAAATTGAGATCAGACGATTAGTTGAAACTTTGGCTTTATGTCAGCTTAATTTCTTGATTGATATACTTACTATTTTTGCTATTGCCTCTTGTGCTGCAGGAGTCTCACAATGCTTAAACAGGTTTGTCCACATTCACATCTGAAGAAAGAGAGGAGATTTATTAATTTTCGTCAAGAATAAATGAAGCAGTCTATATGATTTAGAATGGAAAAGCTAATAAATCCAATATCTCATGTTTAATGTAAAATATGTTATACTGAATTTGGTATATAAACCAACTAATAAAGGAATTTAGTCAGAAAATTACAAGCATTCGTGGCTCCATATACTTGAGAGATCAGAATATACAATATAGACCGGTATGAGTGAATGTTAGGTGAACTTGTTAACCCTTTGATTCAATCCTCACTGATTAAAAAAAATCTAAATGGAGGTGCATGAACTTTTTGAAACCATAAGGGGTAAGTAAATATGCAATTTTGGCAAATGAGCAACTACGTACCGTACTGAATTAATAACTTCGTAGTATTTGACAAAAGCTGGCTTTCCCACAAGTACTTAACAGTGCGATGCCCGGGTGTGATATACAACAATAGTATTTACCTTACCTTTTTCCGATTTCTTTTTATCTCAACTTTCCAAAATATCAATAAAATCGACAACAACTGTCATAGCCGGCACGAACACCATTGGTGCTATGCCTTGAAAGCAGCACACATCCGCTCGTTTTCGTCTCGTCAAGTATGTGCATTGGAGCGTGCTATCGGATACGATCTTCGGCCAAAAATGCCGTAGTTGCGCATCATGTTGTTTAATGTCATTGGTGAAACGCACAATGATGGGCCCAGTTTTGGACGAGTCTCTCCTTGGAAGACGATGTGAAACTGAAATGTCCAGCCTTTCAACAGTTATGCCCAGTTTTTTCCCTATTCCCACAACTATTTTATCTGTGTTTTCACCATCTTTGTAAGGAATTCCATGAAATTCAAGATTTTCTCTCCTCATATATTGCGCGAGGTCTTCGAAGTCGTGATCAAAACGCTGCTGAAGGGAGTTACAAATGCTGAGTAGGGTTTCATTTTTTGCAGTCAGATCTCTCACCACCTGGTCCAGTTTTGCAATATAATCTTTTTGAATCTCGAATTCTGCACTAATAAATTCTTGACTAGCTTTGACAGTGCATAAGTCGGTGTCCAATTTAGTATTGTTGAAACGCAGATATTCCAGTTCTTGAGTTACTTTGGAGAGCTTCTCAACTAATTGGTCAGTCTGGAGAAACATTGTTTCCAGTTTCTCAGTCATTTGTTGGGTATTATTCATGACTGAGTCGTTGATTTGACTTGATATTTTCTTATCGTGTTCAGTTATTGAATCTTCAAGTAGGTCCCTTATGCTCTCTTCTACGATTGCTTTGATTTCGATTTTTAAATTCTTTGTTATGCGTGATTCCATCAGTTCCAATGTTGACTTCATTTGGTCAATTTTGCTTTCCATTATAAACAGATTAGAACGACTATATAAATTAGTTTTAAGTAAGTATATGCAAGAACCTGTGAGCCTTAATTATACAGCGAGATGCCTTCGTTCGCTTGGTGATTAAGCCGTCCCATCGGATTTTCGCAAAAAAAAACGATCCAATATTTCTAATTAATTACACTAATTGTATCTTGATTTCCCCATCAATTGTTACGTTAAAACTGGTGTTGATAACCCAAATAAAATGTCATATGAAAGGCACCCCGTTCTAGTCTACAAAATATTAAAAGTGATGTTGTATAATTAGGGTTACCATTTTTTTTTTTACTTCAAAGCGGGACGTCTCCTGTAACTTTACAGTTTCCGGTTTCACTACATAGGCCTACATTTAAGCCATCTCGGCTGTCTTCATTGACGATATTGTCCTCGAGAGTTCATGCGCATATTCTCTGTCTAAATATCGGGTTCAGTTCAAAAAGTAGAAAGGAATAGACGCTAACGATACAAATGATCCGAATTTGGATTTTTTCATGCACAGCAAAATGAATAAAGAATAATGAAATAGTCTGCCGTTTTCAAGCATTGGGAATTTACTTATTCGCCCAAGCATGCTTTTCTGTAGATAACACTTTCTCAAAAAGACGTTGTTCAATGTTACATTCACGTGAACGTCCGAACAGGACCAATTAGAATTGATTTTACATGTGATACGTTGGCTAACAATGTTAGCGGGAAACAACGAAACAAACAAAATAACGCATTCACCTTCAGTAAGTAGGCTAGTTGCGCTACACCGCCGGGACAATGCGCTAAAATGCATGGTAAGCCTATGTATAATACATTTATTGAATCAAATGCTAAGTGATGTTCAAACGGGAGTCGTGCGCAATTATCGTGTCCATGGATGGTAATGGATGGTTGGTACTTACAACTCTTCAACCGACAACCAGTACTCTTTATTTTACCGTTTACTCGAGGGCATTATATATGTATAAAAAATTTCACTTGTGACAATGGTAAACTTTACAGTTTATTCGTAAAAATGCATTTACATTCAAAATATGTGCTTGTTTGAATATAAGCAAATATATGAAACAGTGTTGCTGCAAGAATCTGAAAGAAGTGTGATCGGGAAACTTAGAAATAAAAGATGACACGAATTAATAGATTAATAACAAGAATGACCAGACTGCCTGATGCTACTAAATTGCATATTCACAGCGATAGAAATTTTGTCCAATATTATTGATTTGAGCATCAATATTAGGATCAAAAATTCTTAGCATTTTGCCCCCTTCTGTGGGGGAGATCAAGGGGTTACTGACTGATAAACTAATGCTCATTTAAATAAAAGTGCATAAAAACCAAAAACAGTCAACTTTTAGTTTTATCACAGCCATTTTGTAAATCTAAAGAATTCTAAAATTACTCACAATAAGATTTTACTTTCAATTCATTGAATGAAGAAGAACAGAAAGAAATTACAGAATATTTAAAAAGGCATGGTTGAATGTGAAGTTTTTAAAAATAGGAAATAAGAGGGAAAAAAGCAATAAAAAGAATCTGTGATCATGAACTTTTGCGCAATTAATTACATTAAAAAATTTACATCATTGGTCTCCAGTTTAAACCAACACGGGATGACATTGATCCTGATGAATTAGATGAATCATTACTTGTCAATCTTCTTCGCCTTCCAACTTGTTCAGTTTTTTCTGATGAATCTAAACGAAATTGCATAATATATAAATTAGGTTGTATTGAGAAACTGACTTCAACAACATTAAAGCGTATATTTTTATATGCTAGGACTTCATAAAGCATGGAATATATCTTTATCATGGGAAAGAAGACTTTGGGATTTTTGATCATTGATATTCAAACAATATCTGCATCAATGAGAAACCTCCTGTTGCATATTTTCCGCAAGCTTTATATTACTTGCTTGATATTGTGTAGTTTTGAGCTTTTCATATAAGGGTTGAGGCAATTTTTCGAACTTGATTTTAGGAAATTAATGTACGAAAACACCTATTCAACTCGCACATAGGCCAAGTTTAAAACTCAAAAAATAAGTTGTCAAACTAAAGGACCGGCTTATATGCGCATAACTCAGATCACACTACAAAACGAAATGACATGTGATCGATTGTACAATTGTGATTGTACTCTCGCCGTAACGCAAAAAACACCGCCCGACTTTTAATCATCTTCAATGATTACGATATGTCATACATTATTCGGAGACATAAATTTTACTCGGTGGGATATTATCGCTGACTTTAAAATAATGAGTGGCAGCATTGCGATAAAGCGGAATGGTGGCAGCAACAGCTCAGATATGTTTTTAAATCAAAACAACATATAATCGTACATGTTTATGTCCACGGATTGCGTTGGTGATTTGGAGCAGTGATCCTATTTATATTGTCCCAATCGCAGATTAAATTGATCATATTTAAATAAATGAAGCAACACATTTCGTTTTTTAATCAGGTAGTTCATCCCACATTGTTATGTCGGCAGATTGCCCTGTTACTTTAGATTGGCAATGTTCTTATAAGGTAAATGTAAAATAAGAAGCCCTGCGAAGAAATGGCGGCAACTTCCACCACGCAACCATGCAAATGTGTCGCAACAATATGAGGTGCAGGGTCCCACAGAAGATAAACAATCAATTTATCGTTGTGATTACAATATGTGGCGAAGCGCTAAAATTCGTTTGAATAAACACTGTGATGAGGACCAAATTATTCGAGAATCAGCCGAAAGAGTATTTGAATACTTTGATATCCTCGATTGTGATAGGTGCCTAGACCTGTTACGATTCGTAGGATATGCGAATTTTTATAAAATCGCTGTTTTAAGACCGTTTTTAGCCGGCGTGTATGCAAGAATATACGGTGCCAAAAAATAGTTAAAATATTATGGCAAATCTCTTCATGGTTCAAAACAGAATTCCATTCTAAGAAAATTATATATTTTTTTATCAAATGTTATCTCTGAAATGTTAGTATGTTTTTCTGATTAATTGGTAACTTGGCAGATCACCAAATAAGTGGGAGTAGCTTGCCATCCCTGTAATAAAAGATGATTCTTTTAAAAAAATCTGAAGCTCAGTCAAAATATCAGAAACGGGTCATACAGGTTTTCCAAAACGAGATAATAATATCCATAAGACACAAAAAAGATTAAAAAGCTTTTTATTACTAAAATGCAATGCTAGCCATATTTTATTAAGTCTCTTGACCTCACAATTTCACACAAAGCAATAATTCCTGCAAATTTGAAAATTAGAAGCAATAAGCACAAGGAAATAATTTTCTGTAAATTTAAAAATTAGAAGCTTGCCTTCTATATCAAATTTCGGAGATAACGAAGATCTTGTGAGACCCCAAAAATTCTTTGGTGTTAATGAATCCTTCGTTGCAGTGAATTTCCATCCCATGTGTCGACCACAACTCGCACATTCACATATTGTCCATGCATACCTAATCAAAACAGAAAGATTCATATTGCAATAAGGTATTTGAACCAACAATGAAAACTACAAATAAGTTTTACAGAACTTTGAATGGTTAGTCATGTCATGGCTGATGGTGGAATAGTAGAATACTGAACTTTCATTCTCAAACCATGTATTTGGTGATAAAATTCTTATACATCATCGTCTATTTCCCAAACTATTTTGTTAAATTCCTCTCTTCACCTATTTTGGAACTCTCCATTCCTCCTTATGCATAAAAAGTTTTTTGTTTAATTAATCTTCAATGGATCCTAGCTAGTGCTATGCGCAAGTCGCATTCCTGCTTTTGTGCAGTTCTGGTAGTTTAAAATTTGTGTGCATAAATAAGTATTATAGTAATAATGAAGAGCTGAGGAAAATATTAGCAATACTACAGCAAATACAAAGCAATTTCTTCCCTGGAGAGGAATTCTTCCCCGCTTGGAAAACATAGGTCTAATCAATTTAAAAAAAAATTCCAGATAGCAATACCTTGTCAGGTTGGCAAAAATACATTCTGCTAGTTGGCATTGTCTAATTTGTATTTTAACTTATAAAGAAATAGAAAAAATTCTTACCCAGGAAACCAACTATGTTCTGTAGATGGTCGAGACACTCGAACAAGTCCTTGTGAAAGATAAACAGTAAGTGTTTCATGAATATGACCCGATGGATTAACATAAGCATCCATAGGACCCGATACAGACATATTGAATAAATGTTTTTTCTCCGTTATATGATTACCACAGTGCATGCAAGCGTAGATTGTGCACTAAAAAATATTTTGGTCATTTAACATAAAGAATATCAAAGTACATAGGATAAAGAGCATAGCTTAAAGTTGTAAGTCAAATTCAATAGTACCATATGTATGTTTTCGATTTGGTACTGACATCCATTTTGTTTTCAATGGAAAGTTCTGTAGACGGAGAAATATTTGAGACAAAGGTAGTTTCGCGAGATCATAATTTTGAAAGGGAAAAGCTTTAGAGAGAATGAACTATATTTTAACAAAAAATCCATTCACTCAATAATACTAAATTCTCACAAAAAAGTCTTACAAAAAGTTTTTGTGTGAGCACACAAGCTCTTAATTTAAACATGAAATCTAATTCCTATTTGCGAACGAAATTTTAAAATATAATTAATTTGCTTCCAAGCAAATGATAATACAAGTTTTAAAGTATATTATTCTACATCACAACAGAGTAAAAAAATGAAAAACCTTTTTGAGCAAATCCAATTCACATCTCATTCTCTGTATTGAACAATCTATCTGCAATAAAAATAATCTCATAGTATTTGTGATGAGAAGATGAGATGCAATCCAGAATGAAAATGCTGAAGGTGATGTTGGTAATGATTTTTCATCTAAATCAGGATTCCATTCTTTTAGTTCTTGAATTAAAAGTTTGCGAAGTATTATCTGAAAATAAAAAGATAATACTATTGGGTTTGTGAAAATGGATAAATACTATTGCAAAATAATTGTGAAATAGTAATTTGAACCATTTCGCATACGCATCAAGTTTTTTTTCTTAGCTTCTTTGAATATATTCATCTGTTTGATTAATTTGATTTCTTTATTCCTCCCTCACTAGGCAAAACTTTATTTCCATCATTCGTTCTCAACCTCCAGAGGATTATTAGCGAATGCAACATATGACTTGCACTCAGGCTATTGTACAGTTTGAATAGGTCATATTGTTTGTATAAATATGTATTACAATATTCATAAAAACTACACCAAGTATGATATAATATTCCTGTATTTCTGTCCCAAAAACAGCAAAATTATTTCCTGAAACTCTACAACTCTACAAAAAACAAGAGTGGCATATCGAGAAGGTCCCAAATTTGTGAATTGATAAACTAGATGTTACGGTGACTCGTCACAAATTTGTAAATTTTAAAGTCTTTATCTGTTTGTATTTTCACTGCTGAAACCACGACGAACGAAGGAAGCAAATGATTCTCAACAGTATTCCAGCCCTACCGTACACTATCAATGAATGAATCTTACAACATTTGACCTAGTCATTCTAGATTTTGATTTAGGAAAGCATCTTTATTTCACAGAAAACATTTTGAGCAAAATCAAACTTCTGTGAATGGAAATTCATAATCATTGCCAAATACATGGAGTATGCTGAGCTGATATACTATTCTCCATTAATTTAGTATTTAACAGGCAATTATTATATTAAAACTGACTAATATTAACACACAATCGAGAAAAATTGTCTATCAGAATGAACAAAAATGATCAATTATTGACTTTAATGTTTATGGTATTGAGTTATTTATTTGACATAATGAGAATAAAATATCAATGAAAGTCTTTAAAATACATGCCAAAATTATTTTAAATAATTAATGAAATTTTGTGAAGAAAATTCTAAATTGAGAAATAATGTCTCGAAACAATCTTGGTAATCCGATATTATGATTTTATGTCTAAGCACAGTGTGCAAATAAATTAAAGTCAAAACATCTTGCTATATCCATGATTCACTCAGTAAGATATATCTATTTCAATTATGAAGTCAGAAGTATTGTATTGCATACTTAATTATGTCAATGAAAGTTTGAGGTCATTATGGTTGAAAGGAGGCAAAGCAAAGATAATCAATGTGATGTGAATTTAAAATTAGATTATGGTTTATTTATGAAAGTTTGATCCACTTGAAGTAGCTCGAATGAGTGGAACATTGAGAAAATTATAGTTGATACAGCCTGTAGTGGGAAAGTATTGGAACTGTTTCCAAGAAATTCTTAATTATCTAAAAAAATTTGAACAAAGGAAGTATTAGTCTCAAAGCCTTATTTTTCTCTTGGTTGGCTCAATACTATGAACTAGAAAAAATCTTTCAAGATAAATTGAACCTACCTGCCATTAAAAAAATTGGGAATATTGGGGCACTAATATATGTTATGGATAAACAATTGAACCAGATTAATTTTATGACATATGGTATAAAATATGATTTAATATTCTGATAAATTTGTAACTACCACGAAATCTATCTTTGGATGATTGAAATGCCATTCTGGATTGAAATTTAAAATCCCTTACGTCAGCCATGCACCTAAATAAACGAGACGACAACATGGTATTTGTGTGGATGGAAAGTCAATAGGGCAATATTCTGCTCTGAAAATCATTTGGTGTTGAAAATCTGCACCCACAGGAAGTTGTAGGGTATTATTAGAAGCAATTGAGAAAAGAGAAAGGAATATCGCATTCACTATACAGCAGTAGTACATCCACTAATAAACCTGTGTCAAATACAGATGAGGTTGCTACGCATGTAGGTATAGTAATGTATTTAAATAGTATCTAAATTTTAAAACGTTTTTTATTATGTAACATTTCCAGATCCTCAACAGGTATACAATTAAAATGGGGGGATGTAGTTTTATAATCAGGATTGTAACATTAGATCATTTATATGATATGGATAAGACAAAAGGACGAGCAAATTGGTTGATATTTCTTATTTGTAAAGTAATGGCTCCAGCATTGCTTGTCATGGTCACAGAATCAGATGAAATTTTAACATATGGAGATACAATGATGAGACATTACAAAGTAAGTCATCTTAGAAATACAGAGTAAGCCAAAATAACAGAACACATAAATTTCTTACTTCTACGAAAATGAAGAAAATTTGTTTAGGACTTGAACTTCTGTTTGTTTATGACCCCACTCGAAAGTTTTTGTAATCTAGGATGCTTTGCACAAAAATTAAGTTCTAGAACATGTTCCACAATCCAAATGACACGAGTTCTGTTTTGGTGTCCCCTGTATATACCGATTTTGTATTATTTTTGTACAATTGGGGGAATTCTTTTCTGTAGAATACAACATTCTAAAGATTCAATTCAATTTTCCAATTTAAAAGCTCTGTTTCACAAAAAATTCTTGATTACAGAAATCCTTACGATCAACTTGCCTGGACATTCAACATGTCAGGAAATTGGATAAATTCAACAAAATATCATCAGATTCAGCATTGAATCAATTGTTAAATGAACTAGAGAATTTAAATAAAGGCAAAACAAACATCAACATGAAAGTATCGAAGACGAGCAAACTTCAAATTCAAGAAAAAGAATTAGATAAAAACTGCAACTGTTCAAATCATGATCCAGTAATTAACAAAGAAGTTGACACAAAACTGGGTGCATCATTACACCATTATCTTATGTTGCTTGAAAATGAAAATATGTCATCACCAATAAGATTGAAGCAAAAACAACAAAATGCAAAAGATGTCAAGTTCTGTTGTGATAATTTTCGGTAAAGTATATATTTATTATTTAAGTCACATTATTAGAATGAAAATAAGTAATATTGTATCAATGTTTATTTGCGATGAGAATAATACAATATCGAACTGTGAAACGTATCAGGTCACTGACTTGATAAAAAAAGTTGGAAAGAATTCCAAACATAATTTTGTTGCTACTTCACCAAGTTAATCAATCAAGTAGTTCTAGTGTTTCAAAAAATTAACATGTGGCTATGATAATCAAATTTATTTTATCTCATATTGTCTTTGAGAAGATGATATCATATTCCTGTTTTATGAGTTGAAAATATTTACCGGTATTATTTAACGATGACTGAATAATGTGATACATATCCTGCTTCCCAATATATGAAACTTTTGGCTCTTTACTGGTCTATGTGGATAACTAAATCTCTTACTTTGGAATGAGCGTGCAGAACTGCTGTGAAAATTTTCTTAAAGAATCTTACACAGGATTAAAATGTGCGCAAATATCAAGTAGATGATGAACCTAACCAGAATAAAATTGCTTTGCTTTAGTTTGCCAATCCTGACAATGACAAGTTATAAATCTTTTTTTTAAACATTCAAAATCTGTATGATATATTTCGAACTTAGTATTATATTCTCTGCCATAGAAACAGCTTTTCTCATGAAATATCTATATTTGCAGGAAGACGGTTACCAAAGTAATCGGATGTATGAGGAAGAAGATGGAACAAAATAAAGATGACATAGTACCTTTTGGAGTTGCAATGTTTTTTCCATGTTTTGGGGCAATTATAGTTGCACTGTGGTTGGCACCAATTAAGGTTGGTTGGAATTGAACATTGCTACTAGGGCTGTCCAAATGAATTGAATATTCGAAATCGAATCGCAAGTCACCTGAATTGTTTTACGGCTAATTTGCAAATAATCGAATTATGTGGTAAAATAACACATAACTAGGCAAAGCTTCAGCTGCAATTTAAAAGTAATTGCACATATGTTATCACATTATCAAAGAGGGAGTTTTTATTGTACAATGGAGACAGATTTAAGATTGTGCAATGATATTCCATTATTCAGTTCCATTTCGAGAAAAACTTTAAGTCGAATCCAAAAATTATCAGATTTGCCAGATCCTAATTGCCACCTAATTCAACATGTGAAAAAATCGGCACATGATGTCAAACTGTGAACTGTGCTTTACAGTTGCACATGCCAGAGAGACTTATGGTCCAAAGCTTCATAGCAAACTTGTACTTGTAAGTTGTAACTATCATTATTACACCTAAATATACTGATCTTTTAAAAAATAAAACTTTCAAAATTTTTTCACGATTCAATACCATATATTCCAATTTCAGCATATTTCAGCAATCCGTAATAAAGTTTTAACCAACACAAACCCTGCGACATCCAACTTACAGACGACACCTGAAGAAAAACTTTCAACAATCAAGGTTCATTCATGCTTTGTTTGATAGAATAGTTACAGGTTAACCTCAGAAAAAACAATACTCAGGTCATTGGGAACACATTCTAGAGCGATCATGACTTTTGTGCAAAGTGTCGTAGCTTACTTTTGGTTGCAATCATACACAAACAAAGTTCATGTGTTCAAGTAATAAAGACATATATTAGTCAACTGAGAGTCCATCTTCGCTGTTCTTAAGATTCGTTCATGATAAGGCAGCAAGATCAGATATTTTTCAATATAATAAAATGATGATTTATAGTAGGTCTACTACCCAATGAAAATATAGAAAATTGAAATAATACAAAACCTAAAGACATGTCCAGTATTTCATACTAAATCTTCCCTCCTGACTGGGGCAACATCGAATATTTTTACTTTATTTACAGGATTGTCTTCACTTCATAGCAGACTTGATTGTGTTTTATTTAATAGTGCACAAAATAAAAAATATTGGATCCGTTATCATGGGATCGTGTGTTCAAAACCAACCATGTTTAATAAAATTCACATCGATGCAGGTGAGAAGAATGTGGTCAATTACATTATTGAATTTTTATGAAATCATTCAAATCAAATTTGCACTCTCAGAAATTTTATTAAAGTACCGTATTACATATACCGTATTTTTTGGCAAATAAGTCTACCCGGCAAATAAGACAAAACCTAAAAAAAAGAGTTTTTCCATATAACCCTCCAATGAACAGGCAGAAAAAATTGCTTGTCTGTTAGTCGGTTAAGCACTAATATGCGCTCATAATTTTATATGGTTAGAACCATACGCACAGAATTAACTATTCCTAATAATAATAGGGCAATTTTAAACATTTTGAACAACCCATTAACTCGAACGTTGCCTGTGAATATGGTGTGATAGGTTTTATATTCAAAGAATCGTGGTTTTCATCGTAGTTTACATCTATCCATCTATTTTACTATTATTTGCAGCAGCAGAAAAATAAACCCAAGAGTGATGTCTGCAAAACCTACTAAATTTATCCTCATGTGTAAAAAATGTTTAAAACAAAACAAAATGTTGCACATTATTTTTCAGATGTTGTATTTACTGGCAATGGCACAGACACCTTGGATAAGTATTTTATGGAACTTTGTATATTGAAAAAAATAATCGGTACTCCCGTTGTGTGTGTACCAGGTTAGGGTCAGGCCATAAACCTATTCCGATTTTCCGCATTTCAGTTCTATTACGAGTTCGGGGACTATCTGTGTTAGCCAAGTGAAAATACGCCCATACGTTTCAGTCCCTTTACACAACTTGATGTAGAATAGTCGAACAAAACTTAGTAACCTCAATATTGGTACACACACTTCTGGAGCGCCAAATAATAAATAAGCTGAAACTATTCTGGGAGATTTATTTATTCTGATGACTTGGGATCACAGATGATACGTTGTTGGAGCAAGTTTTTTTCAATAAGATGATATTTGATATATTTCACATTCAGTTTTTCTATTATGAACATTTTCTTGTTATAACTTACCTATATTTATGATCAATGATTAATTTCTGGGGAACCAATAATAAATTAAATAAAACTTGGAAGCTAGTGTTGTGTCTGAAAATTGTATTGTCAGATATAAAATAGTTGTCAGCAGAAGCAAACTTAACACCAACAAAAAAAGTCAGCAAGAAGGATTTTATTCATTGCAAACAAAGAAAAGATGAACAACACAGTAAAAAATGCACTTACCACGTCATACATGTTGTACATCCAAGGCAGCGAACTTGTCAACCAACCAGGATGATTCAGAAAATGTCGCCGCTTTGCTGTAGAGTATAATATCATTATATTGTCAGTTTGAGAATGGAATTGAATCATTGTTTATGAGTTGCAACAGACTATCAAGTTGCGATTCGTATTATGTATGATGGAACATTTTTTTGGGCTAGGATTTCAAACCAAATCAATTTGAGTCATAGAATCTGTGATAAGTGGACTACAGAGATCAATGGTTCAGCCAGATGTGTATCGAGTGCTACCTCAAAAATATTAATTTTTAGGTTTCTACATATTATTACGATCGGATATTATGACTACCGAAATCTAGATTATGAACCAAACCAAACAGAAAAAGCAAAAAACCTCTGATGGCTGCGCCAACTGCAATGAAAGTTATATACACGGGTGTAAGTCATGGATATCAACAAAACAGCAATTACCGTACATAAATTTTCTCTTTACCTGACTTTATTGTTGGGATAGCATGCTTGTAATGAACTCCTAATCTTGCACCGGATGCAGGAGGAGAAAATTCATCATCATTCAATATTTGTACTTTTCCAACTAAATTGCTATAAATAATATTGGTCCGATATAAATACATTACACAACCAGAATCTTAAAACTAACCAATATTTGAGCTATAGATTGGGATTTAGATCATTACTTATTCTTCTTCTTCTGTGTCTTTGGGTCAGTGGATCTGTGAAGACACTGCAGCAAGAGTGAAAATACCTATTCTTAGTAAGTGTGATTTAAGAATCTTGCTACACACTTATCTTATTAATGATGCATATTCTAGTGATATCACAGTCAATATTTTGATATGAGTGGTCACTGAGACAGCTCCCTTTCACAGATAAATCAACCTTGTTTGAGTCTTTTAAGTGTTATGTATTTTATATTCAATATGAGAAAAACCTGCAAAGATGATAGCTTTATACACTACAGTTTGCTTGCAAAATAAGTTCTCGCAGCAACTGTACAGGCCCTTGAGATTTTCATCAAATTTTAGGCCCACTTTATATTTCTACCGATTCTCAGTCATGACTCATGTAGTATAGTTTGTAATGTATACAAACAATCATCATTACCCATCAGGTTGTGGACGCTTTTCCATAAGTTTAAATCTTTGGCGACCAACAGCAATTCCAACCATAGTTTGTACCTCATGAACTTCTTCCTCTCTTATTGATCGTAATTCCGCTGTGCAACCAAAATCTATCATGGCTGATGAACCTAATCCATGTGTATTTCTATAATGAAAAGAGATATACATTGCTGTAATTTTATATTGCTCACGATCATTTTTTGAATATTTCAAAATTAGATAGGACTGATGACCACCAAGAATTTTACTGCAAAATCCCATATTCTCTTGTTAACAAAATACATAAATGTCATATTCAAAATAATAGTATAGGATTTTCATATTTATCCCAGGGGAAGGGAAAGTAGATAACACGACTTAATCATATGGCCAACCATGACCTCTCGTCCGTTTACCAGTCCATTTAGGGTAGAGGTAAAATTAACCAGTTATTTATTTTCAGGTGCATAGATTTGATGATGGAGGGAGTCGTAATTGACCAGAGGTTATGTGAACCGAGGCAGCGAGGAATCCACCGATCCTCTCGCAAATAGGCTACTTATCCCCACAGGACTCCAATCTGCAAACCAGCACGAACCAATTAATCAGTTGGGGTATCCTAACGCTCAGCATGATGCGCTAGCCACTGAGCCGCGGAATAAATTTTTACATCAGACAAATTATAAATAAAAAGATGAATGGGAGACAACACTTGTCAAAGTGATATGAGATTACTGTTACAGATTTTTACAATCCGATTTTCATTTGGAGAGAACGATAATAAAATATCAAAAATGCTATCCTGAGATGAGAAAGCCTTAACCGACCACAATTCATTAGTACCTACCAGGGTGGTTCAAACCCTGGCACATAGGCCGCATGCAACAATTTCGTTGCTATTCAAACTCGGTTTGGAATACCGACATTTGAACCCTTTCCCTAATCCCGATGTCGGGAATGCTATTTGTTAGAATCACAGAATGTCGAGGTTATATCTATAAAAGTCAAGGTGGTGGGAATGACTGTGATTGGTACGATAACGTGTCGAGAGGCCATTCCACGACCCCCGTTACCCTCCCGTTGGCTGCTCCCCTGATTACTGGTAAGTTTCAAAACGACCATACGCGCGATTTGTTCTCAGAAATAATCAAGCGATAATAAGTGAGAGATCGCGCGAAAAAATATAGAGAAAGGAAGTGGGGGGCATGGAGAATAAATTTGTTTGTGCAGACAGGCCCCGAAATTGACATTTTGTGACTTTATTTTAGTGAAAACACACATCTATTTTAAAGCAAGGGCCATGTGACAGCATTGACGAAATGCAGATCTGAAGCAGAAACCAAAACCAAGAAACAATAAATTGTTTTGTTATTTTGTTTGTGCATTATATATCTTCCTTGGAATAAAAACACCACCCATGCAACATAACAATAGACTGATGAGAACGGTGTTCTGATTCTTTAATATATTTAAAGTAACTAAACTCGCAGTATTTAGATCACTTCAGGGTTTTCCCGATTGCAGCCTTCGAGGCCTCCTCAAATTTTTATGTGGCCCTTCACGCTCGCAACCTTGGACCACCCTGACCTACATGAAAACTATGCAGGGAAAGTAGCGATGCAACATCAATAATCACACATGACAGCACAAAAAATCATTGTTTGGCTTGTACAGATAAATGTTAGTGACACGAGTACCGTAAAATGATGATTACCCCATACAGAAATCAGTAGTTAGTTTCAAAAGTTGATTTTATTTAAACAGTGATCAAACTGAGCCATGCTTTTGAAACATAGCACATTTTAGGAAAAATAATCACTGCAGATGTATAGCACATTTTAGGAAAAATGATCACTGCAGATGTATATCAACTGCAAATAATAGACAACATAATAAAAAAATTTAAGCTTTTACGTAACTGGGTAATACTCACATCCAAATCACTCCAAATGTTTTGTCCGGCCTGGCAAGAACAGATTTCAGCAATGAAACTTCTTGAGGACGTATTATGTTGAGTGGCATGGTTTGACCAGGTACTAACAAAAAATCTGCAACTCTAAGTATTGGTATAGTTACAAATGATTCATCATCAATATATGGAATACCACTGCAGTCATTCATCTCACCAAGATACTGAAATAAAAGCTCTATGTTGGAGAATTCAAATAATAATATCTAGAGATGGGAATAATTTGGTACTAGCCAGACTCGGCAAACTCAAGAAATGGATAAAGAAATAGTGTCGAATCTTTCATAGTGTCTGTGACATCACAATGCAAATGGAAAAACACACTTCCGACCTAGTTGTAACATGTCCACTTATTAATGTTAGTAGTGTGTGGATTCGATTGAATAAGATGCCTGAGTTGAATCTTAGCCCATTCTTAATAATAACTGAAATATTCAAACTTAGTACAATAAAATTGATGAATTCGGCATAGGGAGCATATTTTAAAGTGACATGCACACAATTTTTTATTGAAATTTTCTACTGTCTAAATAAAAACAAATGGCATAGGGACATGCAAAGAATTTGATCATAACTAATTGATGTTATTGTAGAATAATTACCATGTTTTATTGTAAAATCTCCCATTTTTATGCTTCACTGTGGTGGAGTTAACGAATTTTCAATACCATATATTTAATTGTTAATAATGAAATTACAAATAAATATTTTATAAAAACTTTACTGTCTATTCCATCCATTTAGAATGGACTGAGCATACATACCGAATGTGATGTCGGAAGTCTTTTATCAAATGTTATAGATTCTGGCCGTTCCGCATTTCTCGACTCATTATCACTTCCATCATCATCTGTGGAAAATGAATGAAAAAAATTATAGGGTGGTCGCTAGAAAAACAGAAAATTTGTCAAGCAGCTATTTACTTTTACAAAGAACAACTTTTACAAAGTTATTTATTGAAGGCATATGTTATATTCCACTTATAGATGCTCAAAATGTCGTCCGCACACTTCAGAGCAGTTTCTTAACCTAGAAGTCCAAGCTCGTGTAGGGCTTTAAAGGTTAACTTGAGAGATATCTTTCAAATTCCACCAATACCTTTACGCATTTTATTTGTGATCTCATCAAAATTTCTGCTTTTTTAGCGACCACCCTGGATATTACTATGGATCTGGTATAGCTGATGCATCACCTACTAAGGTTAGAAATACTTACCTATGTCTTCTATTGATTGAACATTTCCAAAGAATGGCAACCTTGAAACAAGAAAATAATATAGTCTTATCTGAGTAGGATTACGTACAAATTCGATGTTATACAACTGGTTTACAGTTCTTTTCAATCATTTTCCTGAAATATTCCACAAAACAATATCAAACCGGATTTAAATCAAATATTTTGAGATGAAGCATGAATATGTTACAGAATTATTTATTCAGATTTGGAACATTAAATAAAAAGATTTTCGGAAATGTATAATAAAAATGTGAAAAGTTTGATTTCATATGTTACTTCAAAGTTCTCATACCTTCCCAAACGACGGAGCATTCCTGGAATACGATTTAATAAACCACGTCTGATATTAATTACTCGAACTCTCTCTGGAAAATCTTCCTCCATCACTTCATCATCTTCATCAACATCTTCTGATTCTGAAGATTCATCACTGACATCAAATACTGAAATGAATCATGCCATTATTGATATGTTCAAAAACAAAGTTTGAGAATTTAATATGGCTCTAACTAAAGTTTGGAAGTGAGGTCGAATAGAAGTTTTTGGCTGTGTATGAAATACATCTCTTATTTTCGTTTGTTAGATTTATCAACATATGGCAAATAAAATAACTGAAGGAAAATTATTCAAAGCAAACTTATAATTGTTATAGAAGACCAAAGGGCCAGTATTGAGAGTCTTCGGATCAGGCCATGGATCACAAAAGTTTGAAAACCATTGAGATAGACAGTCATTTCGCCACAGTGTTTATAATAAAAACAGTAAATACAAACACCCTGATACAAAATAAAAAATGAGTCGTCAATTACGACAAGATCAAGCACCGATATTATTAGTCTCTATACAATCACCCTGTAGACATACCCAGTGCCTTCAAAAATGATCTATTGGTGGGTTGTAAACATTTTCACATTGGATAACTTTTGAGCTTTAGAAATCAAATGAGAACAACAAATTTGGAAAGACATTTCAAGTAATATAGTCGGAACACAATTTGATCAGAATGTCAGTGAGGATTAAATGCATTTGTACCTTCATATTCTTCTCCAACAATACCTCCTTCAACATCTTGATCCTCCTCTATCACAACTTCATTCTGGTCCTCAACTTCAAAAGGTGGCAAGTCTGAACAATTAAAATGATTTCACCTTATGAATGTTGTGTTTCAAACAACGTGCTAGAAATAGTAACCCCAGTTTCTCTGTTTTATTTTTGAAATCTTCAACACCTTCAACAACTTTTAGTAATCCTTGAGATGAGTATCACTGACATAAAGATGAATACTATAGGCTATTCCAGGCATTGGCCATCAAATTAGATCCAATCTAGGACACCACAACAGAGACCGAACAGCGCTCTTACTCCATAGTGACACCTTGTGTCCCATCACTAATTAATTAATAACTCGCTAATTATACGACATAATTCATCCAAAATCAATAGGCTTCTGGTCCGACATATGATGAATGCACATGCAAAATCTGGAGCGATTTCAATCTCGCTTTCGTGTGATATTGCGTGCATCTAACAGACAGACAGACAAATACCTATCAACATACTAATAGTAAAGTAAATATTGAAGATGCTAGCTTAAGATGAATCAGACAGCTTTAACCGACCACACCTCATTATTACCTACAGGATTGGAAATCATGCAGGGAAAGAAGCAGTGAAATATCAACAATCATACATACAAAAAGTTGGCAAGAACTAAAAATTTCAAACATGAAAAATCTAATACATGAAAAATCTAACTCAATTTTTTCACTTCTCTGGATAACAAATACTTTCTAATTGTTTCACAGATAATGTACAACCTCAATGTGTATTATATTCATCTTCTATTTGGTGTAAAAGAATTTAAATAAACAAACACTTGAGAGATACCTTGAACTGGCATTTCACTCTCAATAGGTTCATTGTAGTCATTTTGCAAAATTGGCTCAAGAATTTCTTCATTATTTGAAGGCAGTTCCAAATCATTCTCTCCTCCCACTGATGAAGAGTTTTCGCCTGATAGTGTATTTTCTGAAAAAACGAAAATAAATTCTAATTGATACAATTTCAAATGTTTTTTCAAAGAAATTTGATTAAAGCAAATACACGCACACTCACTCAAAAACAAAGAAGATTGATCTCTAACCTTAGGTATGGGTGAACCCTAAGTTGCCTAAAGCTACTATGACTATAAGAAATTTTAATGTCAAACCGCATGTTAGTGAATACTAATTGAGGCGAGACTTAGCAGTTCATATCAATACAATCAGGAAAACAGCTACAATGTTGTGTACAACTCAAGTTAGTGGAAAATTAACATATTCTAGTTTCATTATTCCAACGGTAAATGAAAGACTTCTAAGTCTTTACATAAAAAAATTGCAAAATAGGAAGTATGGTACTGCATCAAACTACATCACAAAAAAAACTACGTAAAATGAAAGAGTGCAGTTTCTATTGATCTATTTTTAATCTGGACTTATTTTCCCAAATTCTCACATGCAAAGGCATGATCAACAGCTTATGAGAAATTACATTATTACATGAAAAATTTAAAATGATTTCCCCAGAGAAATTTGTTGTTGTTATGAATGACTATACTGATATATATGTGTATGGTCGGACTGAACGTGTAAAAACGATATCAGTAGTATTTGTTTCTCATAAAAGAAAATCCTTTATCGGAAGATATGTAACTAAGTACCAGACTGGATTCCATGGCAGATGCACGCCCGAGGGCGCTAGCGCTCCACAAAAATGCACGCGAGCGAATTCAATTTTGCACGCCGAAAATTTGCAATTGCTCACCAATGTAAATCGGTTTAAATAGTTTTTAAATCAATAATCTAGTAATATAAAGATGCTAAAAAATTATAACTTTACGATTGTCGACTAATAATTGCTTGCAAGATCTGGCCTGATCGAAAAATGCAAGCAAAAAACACCATATCGTGTTGAATGATAGGAATCCCGTGAGAAAAATCGCCTCCTCACTGACGCTGGCCAGTTATGGCTCTGATTCAGCGTATTTTTAATACAATAATTTCACACGGATGTACTGAACAGTACCGGTATCTAAATTCGCACAACCACTCTCAAAATTAGCGACAAATTATAGAAATGATGTTTGGGGGTCAAAGGTCAAACGTCCATTTTTGCTATGATTCAACTTATTTTTTATCCAATACTGGTAATTTTACGCGGATGTATTGAGAGGTATCTTAGGTCGAAATCAGTTTAGCGGGATAAGTTGTTTTGCACGCCGTGAACTATAATTGCACGCCAGAAATTCTTATTTGCACGCGGGAATTTCTGATTGCACGCCCGATTTCTCGTTCAAAAAGGCCATGAAATCCAGACTGGACTAAGTACACAGCAATACACTTACCATTAGGACCTGCTTCTTCATCCATTATTGAATTGGGATCAAAGTAAACCAGATAGACTGATAGAGCAAGAGGTACGCAATACAGGTACGGTATCTAGGTAGCTATGATTAGCTAGATAATCACTGATTTACACTTCGTTTTATGCAATGTTGTTATTCTGTTAGTGACAAACTAGAAGTAAAGCACTAACTTAGGGACTTACAAAGAATTACGGTAGCTGCTATAAGATTTTTTAAAAAACGAGTAAACTAAGCGAGTAAAAAGCAGTAAACTAATAAATAGAGTGCAGAAACTGTATCAGAATATCAGAATTTACTTTCTTTTAATACCGTATTCTATAACACAGTCGTACATCAGTACATAATGACATATAACTGCAGACATGTGTCTATATTCAGATATTGTTGGTTAGTGCAAGTGCAACAGGCAGGCATTTTTTGAAATTATTTCTTTGGCGAACAAAATAAAGCTTCAAATTTTACCCAAGGATTTTCTCAATCTAACTCTTGCCTTAAGTTTTATCACAGCATAATGATATGCCACGCTGACGAGGCTCTGAAATGAAAAAATTGCGTTCATTTGCAGAGGAACAAACGACCCAAACAATTACTGGGGGATTCCCCCATGAATGGCTATCTTTTTTTGCTGCTGTCATAAAAATGTAAACTCAACGTTAGCTCTCATTGGTTGTTACCACTGCTCCTACCATGTTTCCCTGAAAAAAAAGACAGGGTTCTATTCCAATTTTATTTTGAAAAATAACACTCGGGCTTATTTTTGGGGCATGTATTTTGTTTTCATTATAAAGTAGAGAATCACGTGATTATCGAATATACAAAATATGAAAACCGATAGGCTATATCACAATGGACCTTTCCCCGACCTTTAACCCCCGGAAAATATTTTCCTATACTTTACCATTGCAAAATTTCCGGGGCTATTTTAAGAGTGGATTTACGAGTTGGCGCTTGTAAAATGGAGTATGTGTTTCAAACCATCATTATGATTTATCGCATACAACAATCTGTTTTTTAAAAGTACCGGTAAAGAATTTCAGGCTAGTCTATCACAGCTATTTCTAAACTAATTTTTATTACTGCAATTTAATTAAAACACCTAGGAAGACAGAGTGATCTTTGAATTATCTGATTTATATTTAAGTTTCTGAAACACAACTGAAAACTAACGAATAGAGTTCAAAAACGCGAAAACGAGGTAATGTTTACAACCACGCTTGAAAATCTGTCTGAGTGAGAAAAGTGTCTGAGCGAATGCGAAAAGGAGGCATTGTTACGTCACTTTTTGCATCTTGCTGATTGGCCAATGTCACAAAGTAAACAAGGAAGTCGATGCTCGGGGAGAGGTCCGTCATTGGCTATATTAAGGTCATTTTTAAAATTCTGGCTAGGCCCCATTTTTCAGGATAGGTCCTATTTTCGGGGAAACATGATAGATACCTTAATCTTGATTTTCTTCAATTTTTAAGTGCCTATTTAACTATCTAACTCATGAATATTGAGAGAATGGAAATAATGAATAAATAACTCATTATTCTCCCATGTCCATACGGAAAAACTTTTGGCGTTAGGAATACGATCGCCACCGCACCTCTTACCCTTCGTGGGTTCGCAGTTTCGAGGTTTGCTGGACTCCCCACCGCCGTGGGCCGTGGGGTGGTTCACGTAGACGCTGGTCGGTTATATACAATTCTGCTGATAGATAAGGAAAAACTGCGTTTATTTTATCACTCCAACAGAGAACACTATGTATTCATGTGTACAAGCTCGAATTCATTTTGCCAAGGTTTCATTTTATTCAATAGTTTTCGAGAAGTCTACGCTTCAAGGTTTTTATCAGATTTGGAACTTTTGAGTACATTTGCAGCGAAAGATTACACACTGACTTGGACCAATGACATTGTTGTTTAATGTCATTGCTTGGACTCAACCAATGAACGCTTTTGTTTAAATTATAAGATGCACGTCATAATACAATGCCTGAGCATGGTCGGGGTACGTGAACGAAGCATTTTATGGGATATTACTTTCATATCTATCGGAGTGTTTTAGACCAGGGGTGTGCAACCTTTTTCGTAAGCGGGCCAAATATCAATAACTGGGTAGAACCACGGGCCGCATCTTCATTTAACGTAGGCTTTCTATTGATTGCAGGCACAAAATAGTGTCTTTTTGTTAATGATCTTATGGCATTGCAGAAATGATGAGTTAAAAAGCATAAATTTCTGAAAACTTTTATTCAAATTTATTGTCGTACCGTATTTAACGATTCAGCGTAATAAATACTACTTTTATCAAAACTTGCTTTAATGGAAGTGCTAGCAATTCGATATCCATTTTCCAATACTTCGTCGTTCAGGCGGTTTTATGACGCACATTTAACGATTTATTCTTAAATAATTTGCTGTCAAATCTTATTCTAGATTAGATTCAGACAAAATCAACTGATAGGCTGGAACCAAAACTTATTCATCTTTTATATCTCTTAATAATAAATTTTTTAAACTGCTTTCCAATTGTCCGTTCCTACTACTTCATTAGCGCCTGCTTCGAACTTTCCTCAAATTGCTCGTTGCTCAGCAAGTTACAGCTTTGTGAATCGCGTTATTCTCTTCGCTGTTGGAACATTGTGACGTCACAAGACTCGAGTATAAGCATTACAACGCAAGGGGGTTGGAATTACTCGCATGTACCGGATTACACTAAATCAAAAACTCGTTTCGCTGGTCGCACGCCATTCAAGATTGGCACTTTCCACACCCCTGTTTAAGAACATATAAAGGCTAGATCTGATGCCGACCAAGGAAAGGACCCTCTTCTAGTAACCAGTCAACTAAGAAAAATTATAATCACGAGGACCCACAGGTTTCATGATTCAAATAACATTAACAGTGCCTCAAACCTTCGCCGCCGCTGTACGACTAAGTACGTCAAGTAGCACAGAAATCATAGGAATATCACGCTATCTGGAAAAGCCTTTTCCATTTACAGAAAAGTTGCATGTTGGAAAGGAAGCTGGAACGTAGTAAAACAGAGGCGTTTATATCGCTGAACAAATACCAAGAGGAATGGAATTACGACTGAAATATAAAACATTAATTCGGAGTTTGCACCGATATATTTACAGCGATGGATGAGAAACTTACTACTAGTAATATTGAGGACACGTCTGAGTGATTATGAGGACATAAGAGCTGACCGATCTTCGTCAGAACGGCTTTCTCCACCAACCCTACCCCCCCAGAGATTCGCGAGGAAAGTTCTGACGGACGGCGAGGAAAGTTCTGACGGACGGAAAGAGAAAATGCAATGATCGGCGAGGAGGTCATAACTTTTCATGATCAACTTCATACAGTAAAATATATCCAATGTAATATTTGATATGTATATCAGTACCCAGCCTTTGTCTTCCCTATCGCAGACACACAAATATTAAACAAATTCAACAACTTCATTTCAATGTTGGTTTTCATTGAAAAATGCAAAGTTATAAAGGCCTATAAGTTTTTGTGTTAACATAGAAAGACTAAATATGCCGATTTCAACATATCATGGAAAAATAAAAACAAAATCCATGAATTAGCCTCAAATTTGCAGGACAAATGTTGTGTTATTTTGGTTTGGCTTCCCAGGCCTTGACTCCTTGAATCTACCTACACTCCATAAATATTTGAATGGAGGAACATTTCTCAAAATGTTATGGAATCATAACAACATCACTAGGCAAATACCGAACAGAACCATATCAAGTCTACTGATAGCACAACACTTCCAACAAGAGGCCTGATGGAAGAATAATTACAGCTCTTTCAATAAAAGATGATGAATTCACAGAGAATACACGGCCATGATAAGACTTGCACTTACTATACCCTAGAAAAACTGAAGATAAAACAGCAAAGTAAAAAGAACATCAAACTACAACAAAAAAAATTGAACTAGATGATCTTTGCAGTTCATAAAAATAAAAAACTTCAAAAGAATCAATCAGTAGCCGAGCCCATTGAACACATGACTATTAGAAGACACTTTTCCTGATAAAAAAATTCAAAACAAAGAATAAATAACTAATTATTCATCCAGAATTACAAATATGATCAGTTACTTTTCGACCAAACAACATATGGATTGAATAAAAATAGAAACAAAACAGTTAAATAATATGGCAGTAGAGAAAATAATTCACTAAACATGAATTGTATAACTGATAGTCTTATCTTACAAATAAGTCTACACCTAGTACCTAAAACTATTACAAACACATGGTAAGAAATAGAAACAAGTAAAGAAAAAATCCTAGTCCCAGGAGTAAACATATAACAATAATCCTGGAATACTTAAACATGCATGATTGAGAATAAATAGCAAAATTAAAATCCAAACCTTTTGTGATATCTGTGTGGAAATAGTATTTATTCAGGTCTTCAAATGTAACTTTTTTGAGAATAACAATTCATGATAACAGCGTGTTGGAAGGAAGTAAATTACACAGAATTTTTTTTGATTTTTAAAAAGAATAAGTTTACATAGCAATAACTTATGTGAGTAAAAATCTCTGGCTATGGTTGCATAACAGCCACTTCAAACAAAATATAATCAATGATCCTCCTTGATAAAGCATAACATTCACAATAGATCAAACTAAAATTCATAAAAACTTATTCGTCAAAACCTTGCGAAGAATCGGCTGTTTTTGAAAGAGATAAGTCCAAGTTGGGAGATATAGTATACAGTTTACAATGGTAACAAATGCCATTTGATACATGGCAGTATAAAAGGTGAAACAAAAAAGACATTAGGTACGATAACATATTTGCATGCCCATCCAAAAGTAGGAACTTAAATCAAGTTATTTTTATATATCGAGTGGTTAGACAGTGTTTAAAAATAGTTAAGGATTTTGTATCTTTTATGAGAAGTAAGATCACTCAAAAGAAAAAAAAGACTCAATGATTGATTTTGTGCTGGTAAATACCAGTTGATTACAAGCAGTTCAAGACATAATGGTCAGGAAAACAGCTTAGTTGTGGCTTTAATCTAGGGGAGTGCAACCATGTACAAAATGAATTAAAAAATTAGCGACAACCAGAGCGCTGGGGAAAAGGCAAGAGAATAGAATGCGGCTATCGCTAACCCTCCCAGTAGAAAAGGCAACAGAAAAAAGATTTAACACGACGACAAGAGCTAAAATCATTATGTCTTTTTAACAATGTGAGTAGAGCTCGACCGATATCACTTTTTGACGCCGATACCGGCCAACTGTAGTATCGGCGTCAAAATATATCTATCTCAAGATATATCGGCCAACTGGTGGCCGATAACCGATATTAGTATAAATCATATTTTGAGCCACACTTTTATGATGCACCTTGTGAGTCTGTAGTTTCATTTTGATATTTGTTATCATGGCAGTACGACTTTTATTTAACTAACTTCAGTTAATGCTCGAACAAATGTTCTTCTGTAACTTTTCCTGCTACTTCAATATCAGTCTAGCTATTTCCAAGAAAAAGAATTGTTAATCAGACGTTTTTAAATATAACTATGGACATATGTTAAGGGTATTGAAAAATTATAAATTGATATATTTTAAAATGAATCGTGATAATGATCCTTCAATATTGTGATAGCATATGTGCAGTTACATGTGGAATTTTTAATAACTTTGTTTCCATAGACTCTCAATACCTTATTTAGTCAATAATAATGCATTAAGTTTTTATTTTGTAATTTTCAGCAAAATGATAAACAACCATCAATATAGACAAAACTGTTACCCCAGAAATTCAAAATTGAATTTGGGGATTCGGAACTGACATTATTGCTTTGAGCTACCTGTACCATGTTTCGATGATTACTAACTCGTCAGCTTCCAATGGATTCTATTTATAGAACCACCGTTTAATGCTGTTACTAAATTTGCCTTCTTCTCATTGTGTACTCTCTCAAAAACGTCACTTTATAAAACGTCATTGTTACTTCAGATAATAACTTTTCAGTTATGACCATGCATGAACTGGCTAATCATAAGACACCGGGAATTAGGAGAGACACCGTTATAATGCAAATTGAAAGCGAGAGAAATATACCCAGGGGCGAGAGCCGTCGCAGCACGCAGCCCGACGCTTGCCGAGTATGGCAGATATATATCGGCGGTTTACGACCGATATGATATATCAGCAAACACACAATATCGGCGGCCGATATATCGGTCGAGCTCTAAATGTGAGCGCTTTTTTAATCATAAACTGTCGGATTAAGACTTTATATTTGTTGGGAAAAAATCTGAGTGTTGATAAGGGCCACACTAAATGGCTTGCTGAACCAAGCTGTGGCACGCGAGTGCACACCCCTGCTTTAATCATTTAGAAAATTATTATTGAAGACGGATAAATTGAGGTACTGTAATTCAGACCCTGGTTTATGAAAACCAACTTTAGTCAAAGACATTAGATTATTGGTGTAGTGAAGTATACGACATTCATATGAACATTTTCCCAATTGTTGTAATCTTTACCTAAAAAAGTAATGATCCTATACTATGCAAGAAATAAACGACTTCATTTGCCCCTGCAAAGAATTATCATATTGTCAGTATAGGCAATATATAGAATCTGAAGGTATCTTTTTTCCTTATATTTTTGGCACCTCACATTAATTTAATGCAATCCTCACACATAAGTGTTACTTGTGACTAAAAACTACATTACAAGCCATCCTCGACAATTGCTTGCTTTGCATAGGCATTTTTTCTTTAGAATTGATGATGTTTTCGAAGTATCTGACACTTCGCTCTGACGATCACTTATTTCTTCTGAAGCCTGATCTTGCATATCTGTAAGACCAGGTTTAATTTGAAAAAAGACCTTTTTCAATTAGTGAAAATATTAAAATGTAATACAATATTAGACAAATGATATACCTTCTGATGCTCCAGTCATTTGATAATCGAACGAAAGTTCTTCATTGACATTGATATTTTTCCTAGCAAACAGTGCAATTCGAGGTAGGGAGAGATCCATATTGTTTATGAATACATTGTATACTTGAAGGTTTGGAGCACACTGCAAAAACAAGAACAGCAATTATGAATGTGTGGAGTATAGGATAAACATTATATACATTATGCACATATTCATTACTTGAAGAGGACAAATTTAGCCAATTTTAAACCCAATTTATTCCAAGTTTTGACAAAACCAACACCAGACACTGGAAGTATTGACAATAATAGGGATGATATGGAAATAGATTCTTAAAATCAACACAAAAATTTATTTAAAATAAGTTGAAAACACCAACGAACAACTTCTGACAACTATTTCTGATTTTTTTTTCATAATTCGTGATTTCTACAGCAGGCATCTATATCAAAAATTTCTTACTAATACATGGCCGTTTTTCTTACCGAGTGATTAATAAAATGCGAAACATTTCCAAATCTTGTAGCATCAACAGTCATCGGATTGTCTGTTTCATGATAATCAAGATCAAATAAATAAGTTATTCCTTCGCTATCATATTCCATTCCCCTTCTCTCTGCTTCCACGTTTGTAATTACCTGAAACCAAAAGCTTGTTATATTTTATATGACATTTGAAACTCCTAGATTCTCGTGACACACGCATATCAGTAGGTTTCCAAATCAGTAGGTCACACAAATTTTCAACCACTTCTCACTTGCTTGTGATGAAAAGCTTTTTATAAAGAAATCAAATATTTATATACAGTGATACCTCGGTAATCTGAACATCTCTAAACTCGAACAATTGGTTTGTCGACCAAAATCAAAAATTCTGCGGTACTCGAGCGGAAATTCGGAGCTTGACCACCCGCGCCGAGCCAAGCATGCGGCTGAGTGAGATGACGCCAGTGATGTCTAATTCGAATTTGATATTTTAATATTTTCGAATATCACCATCTCCGAATATCGAGTTTAGCGTTTATAGGAATATCGAATATCGCGCACAAACTATTTCGCCGCCGTCCACGTTCTGATTAAAAATATTTTACAGATATCTTATATTTTATCGTAATTGAAGATAGTCGTGTGCGCCGCCGTAATAAATCTTAGACGACATGAAAGGATTCAAATCAGCGCCGACGTGAAGTTCTTATAACACGTCCGAGGACGCTTCCGAATGAAAATATTTTACAATTATTATCGTACTTGTATTATAGTTTGCGCGGCGTGGTAATAATCTTACAGGAAATATTATTAATTGTTAGTAATTATTTGTTTTTTATCGCCCCTTCCGATCGTTACGGGAAATTTTTCAATTTATCGCAATTTACAGCGTTTGAAATATCGCTTAGATCAGCGGTTCTTAAACTTTTTGTGTATGCGGCGCCAAATTATAAAGAAAAGATTCAAGGCGCACTTACACGAAATAAATTGCTGCCTTTGAATAAAACTCTATTTTGTGATCTTTAATGTGTACTTTATGCTTTTTAACAAAAGTTTGCAAACATGTGGGCCCAAAGAATAATGGCAAAAGGTCAACTCTTCTCCATCATCTCTACCTGATTTTCCT